ACCAGCAATATATATTTACAGCAAAATGACCAAGACTATATATTTACAGCAAAATGACCATCAGTATATATTTACAGTAAAATAACCAACAATATATATTTATGGTAAAATACCAGCAATATATATTTACAGTAAAATGACCAGCAATATATATTTACAGCAAAATGACCAACACTATATATTTACAGCAAAATGACCATCAATATATATTTACAGTAAAATGACCAACAATATATATTTATGGTAAAATACCAGCAATATATATTTACAGTAAATGACCAGCAATATATATTTACAGCAAAATGACCAACACTATATATTTACAGCAAAATGACCAGCAATATATATTTACAGCAAAATAACCAACAATATATATTTATGGTAAAATACCAGCAATATATATTTACAGTAAAATGATCAGTAATATATATTTACAGCAAAATGACCAACACTATATATTTACAGCAAAATGACCAGCAATATATATTTACAGCAAAATGACCAAGAATATATATTTATGGTAAAATACCAGCAATATATATTTACAGTAAAATGACAAGCAATATATATTTACAGCAAAATGACCAACACTATATATTTACAGCAAAATGACCATCAATATATATTTACAGTAAAATAACCAACAATATATACTTATGGTAAAATATCAGCAATATATATTTACAGTAAAATGACCAGCAATATATATTTACCGCAAAATGACCAACACTATATATTTACAGCAAAATGACCATTAATATATATTTACAGTAAAATGACCAACAATATATATTTATGGTAAAATACCAGCAATATATATTTACAGTAAAATGACCAGCAATATATATTTACAGCAAAATGACCAACACTATATATTTACAGCAAAATGACCAGCAATATATATTTACAGTAAAATAACCAACATTATATATTTATGGTAAAATACCAACAATATATATTTACAGTAAAATGACCAGCAATATATATTTACAGCAAAATGACCAACACTATATATTTACAGCAAAATGACCAGCAATATATATTTACAGCAAAATGACCAACACTATATATTTACAGCAAAATGACCAGCAATATATATTTACTGCAAAATAACCAACAATATATATTTATGGTAAAATACCAGCAATATATATTTACAGTAAAATGATCAGTAATATATATTTACAGCAAAATGACCAACACTATATATTTACAGCAAAATGACCATCAATATATATTTACAGTAAAATGACCAACAATATATATTTATGGTAAAATACCAGCAATATATATTTACAGTAAAATGACCAGCAATATATATTTACAGCAAAATGACCAACACTATATATTCACAGCAAAATGACCAGCAATATATATTTACAGCAAAATGACCAACACTATATATTTACAGCAAAATGACCAGCAATATATATTTACAGCAAAATGACCAGCAATATACCTTATGTATAGTTGAATGCGTTCAAAATATATTTAGTTAAAGCCATAAAATTGTGTTTAAAATATTTAGATTTCGGCATTGTAAAGGTTGATATGCCTACTTACTGTCAATTCCTCATAAATAACAGATGGTTCCGTGTTTTAATCGGGTGGAAAGAGAGGAAAAGACATTACTCAGTTTCAGTGAGAAAATGAAATAAAGGAAGAAAGGAAGATAAGAGTGGGGGGGAGGAGAAAATCACATTAAGATGATAAGAGCAGATACTACACTTTGATTTCAGCCAAAAGGCCGAAAATCATGACGATCGCGATAAAAAACAACATTTTTCAGACGCACTCTATCGAATGAGGGGAAACGAAAAATCCAATCACAATACGTTAAATAAAATAACATCGTCTGATGAATTATTTTAAAATTATTATTAAAAGAAATGTTCGTAAGACGAGGATTTGGCTAGAAATAAATAAATAAGGGAAGATAAAATCTGATAAACAATGGACTATTCCATTTTGATTGCGTAGAAAGACGGAAAAGACACTACTTAGTTTCAGTGAGAAAATGAATGAAAGAAAGAAAGAAAGAAAGAAAGAAAGTAGTGTATAACGTCTCCTGCCAATACCGCATAAATAATGGACTATTCCGTATTGATTACGTAGAAAGAGAGGAAAAGACACTACTTGGTTTCAGCGAGAAAATGAAATAAATAAATAAAGCAATAAATACATAAAGAAAGAAAGAAATTAAGAAGTGTTTTACGTCTCCTGCCAATACCGCATAAATAATGAACTATTCCGTTTTGATTGCGTAGAAAGAAGAGAAAAGACACTACTTGGTTCCAGTGAGAAAATGAATGAATGAAAGAAGAAAGAAAGAAAGAAATAAATAAAGAAAGAAAGAAAAAAGTGTTTTACGGCTGTTTCAGAAGAAATGGAAAAAGTTTTCAGTTTCAAATCTTTTCATTTCTATTCACTTCAACACCCAGCATTCATATTTATTATTGTTATTGCAATCTTGTGTTAAAGGTTGTTAAGCTCAAATATTTAACGATGTGATAGGAGAATTTCTACGGATATTTTATTGTCGTAGAACTCGCCATGAGCTTATTCAATCATTAACTTAAGAGTTAAGAATTAAGATTCATCAGAAAATTTAAATAGGAAAACCCGTGAAATTTTCACAGGTCCTTGTAGTTGAAATAAATACCATCTATACTCGCGTATCATGCGACTTTTGAAGACCTAATTTTAAAGCTAATTTTATAACACGAGATATGAAATTAGCATATGTCCTGCTGGGCCTGGCCACGCCGTTAACCAAACCGTATATCTATTTACTGTAGTCAGATTAGCTTCAAAGTTAGGTCTTCATGATACGTGTGTGTATACGGTATGCATAATATACTAAAAATCTCGCGTCCTCGGTAAGACGATAAACTACAACCGGCAGCAAGGCCTCTGATCAGGAGGTTTTGAGGAGCGTGGAAGCACCTCTTAATTACTGGTGTTCCCCGGTTCACCCTGTAGTGGTAGCTATGGGCAAATAGTTAACCCCAAACTGGGGTCAAAACACTATGAAAGTGTAAAAATAGGATTTTATACCAGAAATACTTTGTAAAAAATTATTACCAGCAATAAATTTATGAAGAAAAATTACTGCCAGCAATACATTATTACCAGCAATACATTTTTGAAAAAAATTCATTCAAAAAAAAAAAAAAAAAATTACCACGTATACATTAAGAAAATATTACCAGCAATACATTTTTGAAAAGAAATATTATTAGCAATAAAAATGTTGTCGGCATTAAATAACCCATTGAGGTTGATATGCCGTAAAACAAAATAAACCAAACCAATCTAAACCAAAGAATACATATTCTATTCATACGAATCTATCCTAAAAATGTTGTCGGCATTAAATAACCCATTGAGGTTGATATGCCGTAAAACAAAATAAACCAAACCAATCTAAACCAAAGAATACATATTCTATTCATACGAATCTATCCTAAAAATGTTGTCGGCATGAAATAACCCATTGAGGTTGATATGCCGTAAAACAAAATAAACCAAACCAATCTAAACCAAAGAATACATATTCTATTCATACGAATCTATCCTAAAAATCTTGTCGGCATTATATAACCCATTGAGGTTGATATGCCGTAAAACAAACCAAACCAAACCAAATTAAAATCTCGACTCAAAATTCTGCTCATAATTTATCACGCTTTAGTATATTAATTAATGTTTACCCCATACAAGAAACAAGGAACATTGAAGGTTACTGAAGAGTGAAGGCGGTTGTGTGTGAGCGGTCAGTGTAAGGGGCGCAGATTATGGGGATATATGTGAAAGATAAAGTTTAACCCTAGGCTTAAAGAGATTAAGATTATAGTAAGATTATAAACATCCTTCTGGGATTCTATTCTACAAATCAACATTTCTTAGGAAGACGCTATCCGAGTGGAAGTTATTACTAATGAAATACGAAGGAAATGAAGGTGGTTCACTTCAGTGCACACGCATGGTGCGGCCGATCTTAGATAGGAGGGTTAGAGTTGGGGGAACTAAGCAATGTAGCCCGGAGTATGTGCATGTGTTAGTTGGTTGAAGAAGGCCGGAGCGTACAACGGCCGAAACGTTGTAATAAATATGACGAAAAAGATGAGGACAATATTCTGAATAATGTAAATAGTGTACATAAGACCTCATCTCAGAAATATTAACAGATATTGGTTGTTTTTGTTTAGCGGCATATCAACACCTCTATGGGTTATTTAAAGCCGAAAACTAAATACAGGGTGACCACTGAAAGACTGAATGATATATATAAAAAATAACTTTTACAAACACATGTTTTAATTTTTTTTTATTATTTTTTCATTTGGAAATAAAATTAATGGATTTCAGGGTCTTCTGAAGCGATGTTGATGCCTAGTTGAGCAGAGTGACGACGGGTAGAAGCTGATGGATACTCAAGCATACTCTGCCGTACAGCTTCCACCGCTGAGTCAGTGCGCGCAGTGCGGTTAGGACCTCTTCCCGGAAGATCACCGACTGATCCAGTTCTCTCAAACCGGGCGATTAGGTTCAGAATCATGTCATCGCTAGGAGATACTCTGATTTTAAAATGTTGCCGGTATTTTCGCTGAGTTTGAATAATTGATCTTTCATTGAAACAGAAAAAAACTCAAGGAGTTATACTCGTTGCTGCGCATCATACGAAGCCATTTTAATCTCCAAGGGACGCTCTATAACCTACAAAAAAAATAAAAATAAAAATAAAAACGATTAAGACTTTTCAGTGGGTACCTTATATTTTTGTACGCAATTTATGTATGCATTTTTAAGATAATAATGGTTTCATTGATATAAGTCTTACTAATTAACCCATAGCTGGGGGAAAAGAGGTGCATTCACACCTTTCCCAAAAGTATTTGCGCGGAAGTGAATCTAACAAACCCAACGGGAATTTGGACTCAGGTCTCCAATTAACAATTCCGAGCCATTATCCACAACACCATTCGCACTTTCAAGCGTCTGGTATTCCCAAGCGGTCACCCATCTAGTTACTGGCCAGGCTCGACGTTGTTTAACTTCGGCGATCGTAAGGGAACCGATTTTTTAATGTGATGTGGTCGTAAACCCTTTATACCACCCGCACAACGAAGATTACAGCACGTTGTATTCCCAAGTGCTCATTCATCTTGGTACTGGTATAGTGATTTTCCAAGCGTAGCTGTTATGGAGTGGTTTCACAGTGGAGGCTTGTATTCGTACTAAGTCGGTCCTAAAATAGGTTCGACGTATAAAACGTTAGGAACTTCATATAATAAGTATAACGCAAAGAAATCTAGTTGTGGTTGCTGATAGTTTAGTATCCGACTAACGGTCGTCCGGCATCGACTGACTGACCGACCCACTCAGCGACTCCTCGTTACTATTACTACTCCTACTTATTATAGGTGGGAGAGTCTATTAACTGTAGAATAGGTGTGTTCCACTATAACAGTAGCTTAGATGTGGGACAAAGCCGAAAGTAGGAGGCACCCAGTGAGGACCGAACTCACTATTAGCGAGACAAGATTGCTAACCATTATACTGTCTCGTAGGAGGAGGCCGTTGTTACCGGTATATTTATCATTTTCATTCATTATGCCTCTCAATTCCTTGGGGAACATAGGGCCGCAACAACACCTCCCCAACGGACGTGGTTCCGGGCGATCCTCTTCAGCTCGGCCCACTGCCTTCACCAGCACGCGATATACGCTCCACTTTGGTGAACTCTTCCTCAGCCATGTCGTTGTTTGAAGATATGGTTGACGTTTCTGTAACAGCTAGTTTTTGATTGAGTAGGTTCATAGCCCACTGCACAACCCCCAACCTTGAGGGCCAGGATATGTCTTTCGTCTGGCTCCTACCCTGTTGAGCTTGGTTGGACCTGCTAAGGGCCAAACTTCCCGCCCCCATATAGCTCTGGGGATCGTTGAAGCACGCAAGCCGTCCTACCACGTCAAGGCAACACACTATCAGGACGGACTGGTGTATAACATTTATGAAATCATAATTCTTACATATGACACTCAGAAAAAAAAATCAAAATTTCTTTATTAAATATTTAATTATTCCCGTATATATAGTGATCGTATTGGAAGCGATGTTTTAACGCAATGTGGGCGTAAGTCGTGTGTTTCCGTTTGTGTGTGTATATCCCTTCAATTTCTTTCGCGGGAAGTTCTGGGTATGACGATGAACTATATCCTGCAACAAGGTCTCTATTCGGGAGATTGCAGTTTTCAGGAACGTAGAACAGCTTCTTGATTACTGTTGTTCCCAGGTCCCCACCCTAACAGGGGGTGGTAGCGCTTCTGACGATCCTAGGTATGGGCAATTTGCGGACCTCCAAAAAACACTATGAAAGTATAAAAAAAATAATAGTAAAAGAATCCTTCAGTATCTGTCTATATTTCTGAGATGAGGTCTTATGTACACTATTTACATTATTCGGACTATTGTCCTCATCTTTGTCGACATATTTATTACAACGTTTCGGCCTTTCAATATCTGTCTTCTTCAACCAACTAACACATACACACACTCCGGGCTATATTGCTTATTTCCCACAACTCTAATCCTCCTATCTATGATCGGCCACACCATGCGTGTACATTGAAGTGGACCACCTTCATTTCCTTCGGACTATTTAATTAATAATAAGTTCCACTCGGATAGTTTCTTCCCGAGAAATGTTGATTCGACCACTATAATCTTAATCTTATTACAACGTTTCGGCCGTTGTACGCTTCGGCCTTCTTCAGGTGGTTGGAATGTCGAACTGAACCATTTATTTCGCTCACTGGGGTAGACTGTTCTAGTTCCACGTGCCATGTTTTTTTTTTAATGGATGTCAGTTGTCAATTATCTCCTGTTAATTCCCTTCTCCAAGTTCTTCACTGCCTTAACCGGGTATTGAACTCACACTCTTTGGATCCTGTCACTGGATCTAACTAACGCCTTTATCCACTGTTCCATGTGTCCTCAAGGACATTCGACATTCCAAACCCCTGAAGAAGGCCGGAGCGTACAACGATCGAAACGTTGTAATAAATATGACGACAAAGATTACGACAATAGTCCGAATAATGTAAATAGTGTAAAAGAATCTCGCAATACATTTTTATATTAAAAAGACCTACAATACATATCGTAAAATGACCTGCAATACGTTTTATCTTTAGTTGAAGACATACAATTGTGTTCAAAATATATTTAGTTGAAACAATAAAATTGTGTTAAAATTATTTAGATTTCAACATTAAATAACTCACAGAGATTGAAATGCCTCTAAACAAACACAACCAACCAATATGAATGTACACTTTCATGATATTAATCCATATAATATCCTACAATTTCTTCAAGAAATCAAACTGTATTTCGAAATATAACTTCAATAAAACTACAACATAAAACACACATATCACCTCCTCTAGGAATTATGCCCACACAAACATGTATATGCACAAAAGCTGAGTATCAACTACCATGTATTCAATTTCGAATACAGAATACCATTTTTATTAATGTGTTGATATGCTGTTAAACAAATCAACCAAATTTCACCGGCCAATATATATATATAT